TACATGAATGTATATGTAATAATGAATCCTGTTATATATCATTTAAATGCACTAATAAAAATGTGGAAAAAAATAAAATAAAATATATTTCCCTGAGATTCAGATTTCTTCAAAACATTTCCTAAAATATTCATTAATCTACAAGCTATATGCAGGAGAAAGGGCATGTTTTCTTGAGCCAGGCAGATTTTTATCCCAGTTTTGCTACTTATTGAGCTAGGGAGTCTCACTTAACCTCTCAGACTCCTCCTCTGTAAAATATACACAATAAATTTAATATTACAAAAATACTATCTATTTGGCTGCTTTGTTAAGAGAAGGAAATATGTAACATCAAATATGAGGTTAAATAAATTACTGTATAAAGTGCAAAGAACAAGGCCCAACACTTAGTAAATGCCCAACAATATTAACTTCCTTCTCTACATCATCTACAACCTGCCCCCTCAAAACACCCCCAAAGATAAGGAGGAAATATTTTGGGGCAAACTAAGTCTGGAACTCAGTTGCAACAGGGAAGCCTGTAAGTGGATATCTGCAGTCCTGCAGGAAGACCTGTTATCACTATGGACACAAAGAATACAACATTGATCACCTGAATTCACACCAGCTGCTTGGACAGAGTGAGCCATGTGAGGGTAAGTGCAGGGGCAACTGGTGTTCCTGGAGCCAAAGAGCTGGCTCAGAGTATATGGGCTCAGACGCTTGGCAGCACACTAGCTCTATAGGGATGTGTGTGTGTTTAACTCACCTGCTTACAAAATGTTGAGGCTCTCTTCTTCCCAGAGTCTGTTGGCAAGGATGTTTCCATTGGCAAAGAGTAGTAAGAGCCAGGTACTAGAAATATCCACAAATAGGTTTCCCCTTGACTATTGAGATTCTGGCCTGATTTTGCTCTCTGTCTTGGCAGGGACACTTATAGTCATGCCAAAGTGGGCTCAGTGACAGAACAGAGATGACAATGTCAGAGGAGGGCCAGTGAACAGAAAGACAGATCAGTTGAAATTATCCAATATGAACAAAAGAGAGGAGAAAATTGAAAATATGAAGTGAACCTCAGAAAACTGTGTACAATATCAAAAGGTCTAACATTTGGATTGTTGGAGTCCTAGAAGGAGAAAAGAAAGACATTGGTACAGAAAAAACAAATATAAGGACATAACAGCTGAAAACTTTCCAGATGTAATGAAAAGTACAAGTTTACAGTTTCAAAGTTGAGCAAGTCTCAAACAGTACACTTTCCAAGAAAACCATGCTTGTACTCAGACACATTACAATCCAAGATAAAGAAAACTTCTACCAAGGGGGTGGGCATTTTGTACAGGGAACAATAATTCAAATCATTGTCTATTTCTCATCAGAAATCATGGAGACCTGAAGATAGTGGGTCAACCTTTTAGGAGTGCTAAAAAGAAAAAGCTCCTTTTGATCAAGATTTCTACATCTAGAAAAAAAAAATACTTTAAGGGACTGGGGTTGTGGCTCAGTGGTAGAGTGCTTGCCTAGCACGTGTGAGGCACTGGGTTCAATCCTCAGCACCACATAAAACTAAATAAATAAAATAAAGGTATTGTGCCCATATACAACTAAAAGATTTTTTTTAAAATCTACTTTAAGAATGACAGTAAAATAAATACATTTTCAGTGGAGGAAGACTAAAAGAACCCATTACCAACAGATCTGCTCTAAATAAAAGAAAGGCTAAGGGGCTCTTACAGTGAAAGACAACCCCAGAAACAATATTAGAGCTTCCCAAATGAAGAGGACCAACAAAAATGATAAATGCTTAGGTCACTATAATGAACGATTTTTCTTCTTCTTAAATTCTTCAACGTGTATGAAAGTAGAAAGCAAAAATTATAACAGTGTCTAAAACTTTTAAATGTATGTAGCTACAGTCCGCTCATATCAAAACACAGATATGCAGCTAAACCAAACAGAAAGAAAAATGTGTAGTGTCACCTGCTTAAATTAGCAAAGAATGGTCTCCTGTTAAGAACTAAGTTTCCACCTCAAGAAACTAAAAAAAAAAAAAAAGAAAAGCAAACGAAACTCAAAGCAAACAGAAGAATGAGAATAAGAATGGAAGTTAGTGAAACTGAAAACAAGCCCAACAGACCAAAATCAATGAAACCAAAAGCTGGTTATTTGAAAAGAGCGATAAAATTGATCTATGAATAGCCAAATAGATGAAAAAATCTCAACACTGCTAATCATCAAGGAAATGCAGATGAAATCACAATGATATACCATCCCACCCTAGTTAAAATAACTATTGTAAAACAAACAAACAAACAAACAAACAACAAAAATGGTAGCAAATAGGTAGAGAAAGGAGAACTCAAATACTATGGGTCGAAAGTAACTACAGCCATTATTGAAAGCAGTATGGAAGTTCCTCAAAAACTAGAAATAGGACTATCATATGATCCAGCAGTCCCACCATTGGTACATAACCAAAGGAAATGAAATCAGTAGTTTGAAAAGATCTGTACTTTTATATTTATGGCATCACTATCCACAATAGCCAAGATGATGGAATCACATAGTCAACTTCAGTGTCCAGTGGATGAATAGACAAATGTAGTGAGATACATATAACATTGTGTGTATATATAAAATACATTACATATACATAAAACATTGCATGTATACACATTTTATGTGTGTATTTATTTATTTAAACAAAAGCTAATTCAAAATGAATCACAGACATAAATGTAAAATGTAAACCTCTAAAACTCAGAAAAAAAATTGGGGGACTTGGATCAGGCAAACTCTATATTTCTTAGATATAAAGCACAAATCATATAAGAAAAATTCTATAAACTGAACATTAAAATTAAAATTAAATTAACTTTTGCTCTGAAAAAAAGATACTGTTAAGAGAATGAGAACATAAGCTACAGACCAGCAAAAAGTACTCACTAATAACATATCTAATAAAATTCTTATATACAGAATAAACTTTAAATTTTCTCAACAATAAGATAAAAGTAACTCTAACTTTTTTTTAATGGGCAAGAGATATGAACAGAAACTTAACCAAAGAAAATGTTTGAATGGCAAATAAGCTCATGAAATGAAATTAAAACACAACGAGATGCCACTACAAACCTGTTTGGATGGCTATGTTAAAATTTTTTCAATTGACAATATGAAGAATGAATGATGGAAAGAAGCAGCTAGAAACCTCATCATGACTAATGGTAATAAAGCAGTATGGTCACTCTGAAAAAGGTGGCAAGTTTTACAGTTTAACATATGAATGATCATATATTGGATCATTCATTATGACTTAGCAGTCCTTATTCTAAGTACTTACTCTAGAGAAATTTAAACTTTTGTTTGTTTGTTTTGGGGATCAAACCCAGGGCCTTCTGCATGTGAGGCAAGCACACAACGAACTGAGCTATATCCCCAGCCCTGAGAAATTTCAACTTTTGATGACACAAAAATCTGTACATGAATGTTTATAGAAATATTATTCATCATTGCCATAAAGTGGAAATAATCAAAATATCCTTCAATGGGTAAATGGATAAGCAAATTCTCTCCCAGCAATAAACAGGAATGAACTATTGATAAAAAGACAATCTGTTCATTGAGAAATGGAAGATCCAAAAGGTTATATACTGTGTGTTTCATTTATGTGACATCCTGGAGAAAAGCAGAACTATAGGGATAGAGAACAATTCAGAGGTTACCAGGGGTTAGGGTAGGAGGTTTGACGACAAAGGGTAAAGGAAAAGAAATTTTGCAGGTGAAGGAACTGTTCTGTGTCCTGACTGGGAGAGTAGTGATGTGACTTTATGAATTTGTCAAAACTTACAGAATTATATACAAAAAAAATTGAGTTTAACTGTGTCTAAATTAAGAATAAAAAAGAAAGACATAGGGACTGAGGCTTTAGCTCAGTGGCAGAGCACTTGCCTACCACGCCTGAGGCACTGGGTTCAATCCTTAGCTCCACATAAAAATGAAACAAATAAAATAAAAGCAAGCTGTCCATCTACAACAATAAAAAAGAAAAGAAAGATGAACTATCCATATTAACATCAGAAAATAAGGGCAGTAGCCAGGTGCAGTGACAATCCCGGTAACTTGGAAGGCTGAGGCAGGAGGATTGCAAGTTTGAGGCCAGCCTGGGCAACTTAGCAAGACTCTGTGTAAAAAATTTTAAAAGGAAGGAAAAAAAAGAAGGGAAGGGAATGAAAGCAGAAACCAGTGAAATAGAAAACAGAAAAACAATTAAGAGTATAAATTTAATCTGGTTCTGTGAAAAAGCTAGGAAAATTGATAAACCTCCTGTTAGATTGATAGAGAAAAACAAAGATACAAACTACTGATACTAAGAACAAGAGAATCATCACCACATTAAAATATAATAAGGGCTGGGCACGATGGTGCATGCCTATAATCCTGCAACTTGGGAGGCTGAGACAGGAGGATCGTGAGTTCAAAGCCAGCCTTAGCAACAGTGAGGCACTAAGCAACTCAGTGAGACTCTGTCTCTGAATAAAATACAAAATAGGGCTGGAGATGTGGCTCAGTGGTTGGGTGCCCCTAAGTTCAATCCCGGTACTAATAGATAGATAGATAGATAAAATATAATAAGGAAATATGAAGAACTTTGTACCAATGGACATATGCACCAGACAAATTCATTGAAAGACACAAACTGCCTAAGCTGACAACTACCAATTAATAACCTGAAGAGTTCCATATCACAAAGATATCAAATCAGTTGCAAGGGCAGGGGTTGAAGGGAACAGGGGGAACTTCCCACAAAGAAAACTCTAGGCCTTGCTGGTGAAATCTGCCAAAGAAGATTGATATTATAATAGAAAGTTGGTATTATATAATAATTAGAAGAAATAATACCGATCCTACCAAACTCTTTTGGGAAAAAAATGGAAAAGGAGGCATCATTCCCAGTTTATTTAATTATTTCATAATTTCTTAAACATTACAGGGAGAGCAGTTTTCTCATTACTTACAAGGCCCCCAAATCAAAGTCATTGCCCAAGAACTCTTCCAGCAGACTCGTGTCCAGGGCTGGGTTCTCCAGAGTGCCATTGGGCCCCTGAGCTGCAAAGGCAAATTGAAAATCTTAAGAGCCATGAAGATTTCAGAATGACTGTTAAACACTTAGACAAGCTCATACCCCAAGATTTCAAAGCAACAACATAGCACAATGCATTTATTGAGAGTGTGGTCTGTCTTTCTTCCATTTAAATATTTCCTTCAGAAATCTCTTTAGATGCCACCCTCCTCCAGCAAGTCTTCAGGCTGGGTAGGTGCCCCTTTTATGTGCTTCCAAAACACTGAATGCTTTCTTTACCTTAAATGCTATTAAAATATTATTATATTGATACAATCACTTATTATAGTGATACAATCACTTCGGTGTTCATATTAGCACAATTTACAACAGCCAAATTATGGACTCAGCCCAGACACCCATCAATAGATGAATGGACTAAGAAACTGTGGTTTAGCCAGGCATGGTGATGCATGCCTGTAATCCCAGTGACTCAGGAGGATCATGAGATCAAAACCAGCCTTAGCAATGGTGAGGCAATAAGCAACTCAGCAAGACCCTGTCTCTAAATAAAATCCAAAACAGGGCTGGGGATGTGGCTCCGTGGTCCAGTGCCCCTGAGTTCAATCCTCAAAAAAAAAAAAAAAAAAGAGAAAGAAAGAAATTGTGGTTTATATACATAATGAGGTTTTACTCTGCCATAAAGAAGAATGAAATTAAGGCACTTGTGGGTAAATGGATGGAAACACAGAATATCATTACTAAGCGAAATAAGTCAGACTCAGAAAGTCAAGGGTCAAATGTTTCCTCAGATTTGGAAGTTAACAAATTAAGGGGAAGAAGGTGGTGATGGAGGGAGGGATCAGAAATCATAAAGATATAGGGAAGATCAGTGGGGTAGAAGAAGGCAATAGAGAGGGAGGAGTGATGGGAAAGGGAAGGAAATCCAGAACTCAACAAAATCACAATATGTGCATATGTAAATACACCACAGGGGATTTCACCTTCATGTATATGTAGAATGCACCAATCAAAAATAAATAAATAAATGGGCGAGAGGAAGATTAGTAGAGTCTAGAAAGGAGAATTGAGAAAGGGGGAAAGAGGAATATGGGAACTGAAATAGAGTTCATAAAATCCCATGCATGTAGATTTTGTCCAAATGAACCCAACTACTATGTATAAATATAAAACTCTAATAAAAAAAATTGTGCACTTGTGCTTTTCTCTCTTACTCTCCCTGCCCCTCAATTCTATAAAAGCAAGGATTATGTTTTCCTTATTGTATCCACAAGGATCCATGGCATAGAAGAGACAAGCAGTAATGATTTATTGGATAGGTTTGGTGGATGGATGGACAGACGAACAGTTATATGGCTGGTTTGTTGGTTGATGAATAATTTTGTCATGCTCAACAAAAAGTTCAACATCTCACTTTATTTTTGTAGACCTCTTAAAATATAATACAACTGTTCTGTCCTTTTTCTTAATTTGGAAAATGAAAATAAATTTGTTGGTTTCTGCCTGATTATAATATATATTGTTAGAATTTTCAAAGAATCTAAAATGTAATGTGGCAATATATATTATAAAGAAGACAAAACCATCTTTATATGCTGATACCATAACTTTATACCTAGCAAACCAGATAAATAACTGACAATTAGAAATGATCAAAAAATTAAATAGATTGGTTGATCAAAATTAAATGTTAAAACTGATGCTATTAAAAACTAATAACCAGCCAACTATTTATATGGACATCATGGGTGGGGGTAGGGGTTCCATTCAAAATTACAAGAGTATGAAAAATTTAAATGTATACTTAGGGACAATTTTTTAACTAAAAAAAATTAATAAAAAAAATCCTCCATGAAGGGCTTTAAGAAGAGATTTTTAAAAATGGAAAGACCTACACTGTTGATTGAAAAGTTCAATATTGCAAAGCCTTTCTAATTGATTTGTGTGCTGCTCAAATCAAATAATCCCCACATTTAGACGTTTTGAAACAATTCTCTGAAATATTTAACATTTGGAAGAATACATATGCAAGAATGACCAGGAGGAGTAATGAGTACCGAGATACACAAATGAATGCATCAAAGGAATGCAAATCCAAGGCAGAGAAATATTACATATATGTATGACATATGGAATTTGCGTACGTATTATGTATATACTTTGACCACCAGCAAGAAAAGGGTGATTATTCGGTAGACATTGTGGGGAAAATTGGCTAGACATTTAGGTAAGAAAACCTGGTTCATTTTCTTACTTCAACATCAAATTTCAGATAGATCAAAGATCAATGTGAAAATGAAATCATAGAAAAAAAATTCTTATGATCTTGAGATAAAGGTTTTTTCAATCATGGCATGAAAACCAGAAATGATAAAGAAGATTGAGAAATTTCACTTTACACTTTTTTTTTTAGGAAAAAGGAACATTTAACATTTTGTTTTGAATTAATTTTAAACCTATGGAGAAGCTATAAGAAAACAAAGGAATTCATATATGCCTTTCACCAAGATTCACCACTTGCACTATTCTCCCTCCTCGCCTCATCCACATGCACATATATAAACACATACCACACACTCTCCTATCGTACTTCTCTGAATCATTGAAAATATGTTGCCTTTATCCCTGATGTTTCACAGCGTGTTTTCAAGTACAAAAACATTACTTTCACAATCATAATTCAATTATAAAAATCAGGACTGTCAACGTTATACAGTTTTTTTAAATTTGTTCTTTTCAGTTATACATGACAGTAGAATGTATTTTGACATATCACACATACATGGAGTATAACTTTCCATTTTTATGGTTGTACATCATGTGGAGTTTCACTGGTCTGATTCATTTTACTGTCTTTCCCATTTCCATCCTCCCTCCCTTTCCCCCATTCCACTCCATGGAGGAACCTCCCCTCTTTCTCCCTACCACCTATTGTGAGTCAGCATCCACATATCAGAGAGAACATTTGACCTTTGTGTTTTGGGGACTGATTTATTTCACTTAACATGATATTCTCTAGTTCCATATATTTGCCAGCAAATGCCATAATTTCATTCTTCTTTATGTCTGAGTAAAATTCCATCGTGTGATACGGTTTTATTTTATAACTTACATTCCATATTCAAATTTTGCCTATTGTCTCAATAATGTTGTCTAAAGTGTTAATAATGTTAAGAAAGAATCTAATCCAGGATAACACAATTCATTCAGTTGCCATGAGTTTTTAGATTTTTTTAAAAAGATGTTTTATAAAATTCTATTCAACTTTAGTTTGCCTCATATTTTCTCATTTGAATGGTTACATTCAAATTACATGTGTTTGGCAAGACTATTACATAAATGATATTATGTCCTTTTTAGTGACTTACACCAGGAAGATAATAATGCCTCATTATTTATGTTAATATTCATCCCTTGTTTATGGTACGTCTGCCAGCTTTCTCTACTGTACTACTTTTCCTTTTGTAATGTGTGGAAAATTGAAAGTGGGAAAATATTTTGTTTCTTATAAAAATTATTACCCAAAATATTTAGCACTCTTTGATTATCATAAGTATAATAGAAGAAAAAAATGAAAGACAAACTGTAAAATATTTTCAATACATATGAAAAGAATCAAAATTCTTCATATATAAAATGTTCTTTCAACAATACCATCAACACCTCCCCTAGGAAAATAGTAGAGAATGATAAAGGGCAGTTTACAAAGTACGAAATCTTAAATCTTACTAAGGAACAGAATTTAAAAGATCAGAAAAATATTTTTTGCCTACCAAATTCACATATATTCAGAGAACTACTAAAACCCACTGGTAATGACAATGGAAATAATAAGTCCCTCTGTTCACGGCTGGCTGAAAGGAGCATAAATTAAATAACCTGAGAGTAATTTAGTACGTTTCTAAATATCTTAATGTGCATATTTACATTGACCTAGAGTTCTACTTTAAATTTACTCTAATGGAAAAGTCACATAAATGTTTTTTAAAAATGTGCAGAAGAATATCATGGCATGCTTTTTTATAATAACAGAAGATTGGGAATAATTGACTGTGAATATAGAATTGACATTCTTTCCATGAAATGTTATGCAGACATTTAATAAATTCTGCAATGGTTCAAGAGAAAGAAATCAGGTACCCAGGAATTTTTTTTTTTCCAAAGATAAAGGCAAAAGAGAGACAATTTCAAAACAAAAACGTTCAGGGGATAAAATTTTCATGAGCCTTTCTTGAAAATCATTCCTTGACAATGAAATTCCACCAATCAAGAATAATTCAAAATAAAGAACTTGGTAAAACAGAACCTGAAGAGGAAATAAACTCATGAACCATGAATTCGTATAAATTGGGATTTTGACTGAACAGCTAGGAAAGAGTAGCTACAGATGGAAAGTTAAAAGTAAGAAACTCTAAGGAAGAATAATATAAGCAATAAAAATTAGGAGTTTGAAAGTAGAATATGTAATACTAATCATGTCCTCACATCTCAGAGTGCATCTTCACCACCTTTTTTAGTCACTTTTTTTTTTTTAACTATAATGAACTACATGAGGCAAGCTAAGTTATAAAGAACAGAGTCTTATTTAGTTTGCAGTTGGGGAGGTTCAAGAGTATGGTGCTGACATTGGCTAAGTTCCACTAATGACCTTCTGGCCGTCAGAGTTAAGGTAGTACACAGCAAGAGACAGGGAATATATATGTCTAGATATGTCCGGACTCTGTCCCTCTTCTCATAAAGCCACACAGATTTAATAACGGGGGCTCCAACCTAATGACCTTATTTAAACCATCACTTTTCAAAGGTCTCACCTCAATACCACAGTTGGATTAAGTTTCCAACTTCTTAATCCCGTTAACACATGGATTTGGAGATTGAACTGCAGGAGCTCAGGGGAATAAATCACATTCAAACATGGTACTACCTACATGTTCAAATGTAGGCAGTACATTCAGGTTTTAAAAAACTACTCCAAATTTTTAATAACTTTCTCAGTTCTTAACCTTGGAAGAATCCTTTGGAACTG